AAGGATTCCCACGCTGCTGCCTCAACTGATGAGAGTAGTCCTTTGAATTGATTATTGTTGATCAACTTTCTTATTTGTGGTCCAACAAAAATACCTTCCTTTATCTTGGCTTGAGAAATATCTGGAAAAACTGTTTTCAAATAGTCGAATGCTTCGCCTTCTTTGTCCAAAGCCTTAACAAAGTTTTTAATGAGACCGAGCTTGATGTGTAAGGGTGGAAGTATGATTTTCTCTTTCTTGACAAGAGGGGTGTATTTGATGTTATCCACACCAACGGTAAACTCGACTCTTTCCGGCCAATCCTTTCTGACGTATTGGTCCTTACGAGCTCGGCTATCCCACTTGCAGAGGAAGCAGCAGTGCTTGGTGTAGCCACTTTGTAGACCGCATAACATTGCAACGACTTTGAGATCAGAACATATTTTCCAATCATGCTCTTCATATTTGATAAATTTGAGTATTTTTTGCATTTCCTTTCCTTTCGTTTTGCAGCAACGAAATGGGAAATGAATTTGAAAACATGTATCTTATTTGGGGACGACTACTAATAAGTAATACGGCGTATATAGTATTCAAGATAAACTTACACTTCAACTTTGGGTTCGGAGATTGCCGACAAAATCCCAGTTGTCCACGATAGTCCTGGCGGCCAACAATTCTTAAAAGGTGCAAAATGCAAATCTTCCTGCTGAGGCAATCCTATGAAGCGCAGCTGAATATGCACCTGATCAATATCGATAGATTTAAGACCACCACCAGCGTCTCCTGTACTCCCAGCTAGTTTAATATGGTCGCGAATAAGCGAATATGTGCAATATTTAGCGGCGTTTAAAAATTGTAATGGCTCTTCCACAACTAAATGCAGCAATTCTAGGTCTTCGATGCGTGTAAATTCGACATACTCAAATCGAAGTGGTAACAGTAGAGCACCCAGTGCGTCCTCTGGCTTCCTACTCTCGCTATACTTTTTTATAAATTTTTCAGTTGCTCCTTCTATAATTTTGAGCAAATTATTTCGTCGTATAAAAGATTCAATTTGTTTCTGATCGCGAAATCTGTGAATTATGAAAGCCTTATATTTTATTAACTATAAGCCATGACATCAGAAATTACTTACGATTGGGAAATATGAGACGTATCGTTATCTTTTGGAATTGATATATCTTGTCTAGACATATTCAAAAGGGTAAAAGCAAATAAATAGTTTACGAAGATTGCAAAATTTCCCGCGGCAAATATTTTTTTTTTTGAAGTTTTGACAGGTGCCAAACCAGTGTTGTAAATCACAAGCTACAGATATGTTGAATCAAGAACAGAGATGTATGTTTGGGCACCTTCTCATACACCCTCATTGCAAGAGCCGTATCGAATGTAAGTCGTTTTTCGAGAGTCGAATCGTATCGAAAATTTCACGTCATTGCCTAAAATTTCCAATCGACTAGTGTATTAAAACGGAAAAACTTGGCAGCACTGCGAAGTTTTCGACGATTTTCGTCGTTTACTAATTTCAGCACGACAGTAGACAATGCCAATGTTGTCGAGTCGTACAATTTAGCCTAATTTACGACTTACGCAATGTGGCTGATAATTATACGTTCTCTGCCTATCCCAAGACCGATAGAATTCACCATTCCTTTCACCATGTATCTATCCTTTTATGCAGTCCATAAACTTTCATGTCAGAAATTAAAATTATCTTATATTGAGAAGGAAATCAGTCGTCCTCGAAATTGAAGAAACAAGAAAATTCGAACACCACTTAAATAACCAATAAAAAGCGTTCATAAATAAATATGTACAAATTTTTCTGATTTACATATACATATATTTTGTTTATTTAATAAATCATCTTTGTAATTGTAAAAAATATACACAAAAACGAATGTGCAACTGTAGCGCTTATCGGTTGGACTTGGCTACACGTTCCAACTCATCCTTCTTCTTGATAGCGTAGGAGTTGGATGATCCCTGCAAATATAAAATAAAGTTTTATTATTAAATTTTCAGTAAAAATATTTTCTTTGAATAAACAAACAAAATAAGCTGTAGTTTTACGTTTCTCAAGCGCAATAATAAACACTTGGTTGCTTAATGCGCTAGGATAATAAAGCCAATGATTTTTAATTTCGTCCGCAAGCGAGGCAAATGCAACCTGGATAGAACATTGCTTTGCATTAGAGCGGACCAAAACATTAATAGAACAAAATTTTGTATTTCTACGTTTCTCGAGCATCAAAATATAAATACAATTAATTTAGACGCTAGGATAATAGAAAATATTGATCTTGTCCACAAGCGAGGCAAATGCAACTTGGATAGAACATTGCTTTGCATTAGAGCGGACCAAAACATTAATAGAACAAAATTTTGTATTTCTACGTTTCTCGAGCATCAAAATATAAATACAATTAATTTAGACGCTAGGATAATAGAAAATATTGATCTTGTCCACAAGCGAGGCAAATGCAACTTGGATAGAACATTGCTTTGCATTAGAGCGGACCAAAACATTAATAGAACAAAATTTTGTATTTCTACGTTTCTCGAGCATCAAAATATAAATACAATTAATTTAGACGCTAGGATAATAGAAAATATTGATCTTGTCCACAAGCGAGGCAAATGCAACTTGGATAGAACATTGCTTTGCATTAGAGCGGACCAAAACATTAATAGAACAAAATTTTGTATTTCTACGTTTCTCGAGCATCAAAATATAAATAGAACTAATTTAGACGCTAGGATAATAGAAAGTATTGATCTTGTCCACAAGCGAGGCAAAGACAACTTGGATAGTACATTGCTTTGCATTAGAGAGGACACATCATTAACAGAAGAAAATTTTGTATTTCTACGTTTCTCGAGCATCAAAATATATATACAAATTAATTTAGACGCTAGGATAATAGAAAGTATTGATCTTGTCCACAAGCGAGGCAAAGGCAACTTGGTGAGTACATTGCTTTACATTAGAGGGGACTGCAACACTAACAGAACATATTTTTTTATTTCTACGCTTCTCGATCATCAAAATACGCGTTGAATAAAATTTAATCGCTAGGATAATGGGCATGATGCATTCCATCATCTTAATTTTATGTACAAGCGAGGCAGAGCATTAAAATCATAATGCTGCATTATGGTACACTGATCTCAAAGATATAAAACTTACCTTAGCGGCGTTGATAAGTTCATCAGCCAAGCATTCGGCGATGGTCTTGATGTTCCTGAAAGCAGCTTCACGGGCACCAGTGCACAACAACCAGATAGCCTAGGAAAACAAGAATTTTTTCTCAATTCTATAATCAATAGTCGCTGTTTAATTCAATTGTCTAAAAAGATTGTATTAAAGCAACTCCAGATTGTAAAATTGCCGTTTCAAAATATCTTACATTTTGTTCTAGTCCAGAAGCATAACTCAAGTTTTATAAATAAATAAAAGAGTAATAAGCTGGACATACATAATAAATCTTGTTTAAGATGTATCTTTAGTTCATACGGCAAAAGAAAGTAAAATACTTTTTGGCGCTATGGATATTTAAAGAACAGTTTTATATAGCCTAGGGTTATAGCCTTCCAAAAGTGATGAAATAGTTTGTAAGGTATTGTCCTAGGCTGCAAATTAAATGCGTACATACATTTTAGAAACTTACCTGGTTCACACGACGCAAGGGCGACACATCGACGGCTTGTCGGCGCACAGTACCAGCACGCCCAATACGTGTCGAATCTTCACGGGGTCCAGAGTTGATGATAGCGCTCACTAGAATCTAAATACAAAAACATTATTCATGCAATTTATTTACAAGTTAGTACAAATGATTGTAAAATACTCTTGAAGGGAAATATTATACAAAATATTCACAGTAATAAGAGTAGTTTGTTTGCTATGTGTCCTCATTCTACCTGATTGAAGAGGTATTTGTTTTTCTCGACAACAGTTTAGCATGGGACATGTCATTTCTTAATTAAAATTACTTATCTAGACATTTACCTGTAGTGGATTTTCACCTGTCAACAGGTGAATAATTTCGAAGGAGTGTTTTACAATACGGCAAGCCATCAGCTTCTTGCCGTTGTTACGACCCTTCATCATCAGAGAGTTGGTCAGACGCTCCACAATTGGGCACTGAGCCTTGCGGAAACGCTTGGCAGCATAACGGCCAGCAGAGTGCGGCAAATAGCGAGCGAATTTCTCTTTGACCGAAATGTAATCCTGCAGCGAGATATCATTTACGGTGACATCGTCGCATGACCAACGACCGAAAAGTTTAATTTCAGGCAATTCCGTTGTGGCAACAATATTTGTTTCTAACAGAGTCTCAGCGCCCTCAGTTTCAATTGGTGGTTGTTCGTCGAAGCTCTCGACAACACTTTCTTCAACCTCAGCCATTCTGAAAAAGTAAACAACTTGATTAATACATATTCTATTTATGTCAATCGTCCCATCTTCGATGTGGCGAAATGTTGGTTTTAAACTTTATTAAGGACTATATCTTTAAGCCGATATCCTTAAGAGGAATAGTTAGTCATAAATTTTCTATAGTCCATTTGAATACCATACATACTAAGTAATTCAGCGAGTATGGTTTTAGTAGAGGACAATGAGATAATTGCAAATATTTATTGTTGGTTTTACTTTATTAAGGAGTTTATCTTTGAGCCGATATCCTTAAGAGGAATAGTTAACCACAAATTTTCTATAGTCCATTTGAATACCATACATGCTAGGTATTTCAGCGGGTATGATTTTAGTAGAGGACGGATTGATACTGTGCAAATATTCAAAATATGTTGGTTTTACTTTATTAAGGATTATATCTTTGAACCGATATCCTTAAGAGGAATAGTTAACCAAGCTTAATATCGTCCAATCGAATACCGCATTTCCCATATAAATTGGTGTATACGGTTTTAGTTATGGACTTATTTACAAGCACTTAAGTGAAGTAAATGGCACTCACTCCGCGCATTTTTTTATTTGTGCCAGTACACATTTATTGAATGTTCCAAACTTATATTAGGAATAAATTTATGCACACGTGTGGCTAAACATTTGACATAAAATATCGCCAGCTTTGTAAACTCCTTTAACCTCAAAATTTAATTGATACATTTCATAGCAAATAATTACAAATATCACATTTTATTTGCACAGTACTAATGCCAAATGCTTCCTGCATATTTAACGCCCCTCTTAAAATGATCTTGTGGTAGATTTGTAATAAATTTCTTACTTTTAAGCACAGAAAATTTGCCTTTGCTCCAGACAGTAATGGCGTTCGCCAGAAAAAGAACATGTTCAAACAATGCTGCCAAGTGTGCAAATTTTATAGTTTCCGTTTGTCAAACAGGCAAAATTTCCCGCGACAAGAGACAAAACTACAAGCAGCCAATTCCGGTACAGTGTTGCCGTAGCAAAAACTTTATACGGGATCCAAAAACAAAATTGAAAAATTGATTGAAAATGAACTCATAGTTAGAAATGAATTTTTAAGCAAAATGATCATTTTTGAATATTTTAATCAAAAAATTTAGAACGAAGAAAAATTTAACATTTTAGCAGGCACAAAAAATGTAATCAATTTTGCTTCAATTTAAGTAAAACGGCAACGCTGATCCGGTAGTGCATTTGGTCCCAAACCGATTCCGGTAGCGGGTTTCGATCCCAAACGCGTTTTGGTGCCAGTGAAATAATTCCACACCAATTTTTTTAGCGCCCTCTGTCACTTAAAGCGTAAAATGGAAGCATTTTGTGACTTGTAAGCACAGAATTATTTTGCAAATTTTCCATTTGACAGCCAAGCTGGGTGTCAAATTAAATCAGAAATTGGAAAATTTGCCGGTTGAATTAAAAAAGCGGTGCATATTCTGGTTCATAGTCGGCTAGTAATACCTTAAAAATTTATCTATGACAAAAACTCCTCAACCCTCCGTATAAAATATTTTGTCGGCTTGGCAGAAATCAGCCTGTTCATCAAAGGTTGAAAGAGAGCGGTTCAGGCGATAACCTACTATAACTACTGCTTTGGAGGAACTACCTGGCATATTGAGTTCATACCAACCAAGCCAAAAACAAAGTCGACCTTTTGTGATCAAGTGTGCATTTTTTATATCCTCTAAATGCAGCAGCTAGACAATAAGCTAACTCGGTATGAGAAAATTGCGTTTCTTGGCGAGGGGCAGGTGAGGAATAAATATTATCCAGGGTAGATGACGTTCTAGCGTTTCATTGTCTTATTTTAGTTTGCGACAGTATATAAGGCGCGAGATGTGCTCACCGAGCAGATAGTTGCGGTAAAAAAGATAAAAATTGGAAGTCGGGAAGAGGCCCAGGACGGCATAAACCGGACAGCGTTGCGGGAAATCAAACTACTGCACGAGCTACAGCATGAAAATGTTATAGGTTTGGTTGACGTTTTTGGTCATAAATCCAATGTCTCGTTAGTGTTCGACTTTATGGATACCGATTTGGAAATTATCATAAAGGATCCCAAGATTATTTTAACCCAAGCTAATATCAAAGCTTACATGATTATGACTTTAAGTGGCTTGGAGTACCTACATATGAATTGGATACTCCATAGAGATTTAAAACCAAATAATTTGCTGGTCAATACAGATGGTGTACTAAAAATTGGTGATTTTGGTTTAGCCAAGTTCTTTGGTTCGCCCAATCGTATTTATACTCACCAGGTTGTTACAAGATGGTATCGTGCACCCGAACTACTCTTTGGTGCGCGACAATATAGTACTGGAATAGACATCTGGGCAGTGGGCTGTATATTAGCCGAGCTTTTATTGCGTATTCCTTTCTTACCAGGCGACTCCGATCTTGATCAGCTTACAAAAATTTTCCAAGCTCTCGGCACGCCTACTGAAGAAACGTGGCCTAACCTCAACAAATTGCCGGATTACATGCAATTCAAGCAGTTTCCTGCTATTCCCTTACAACACATTTTTACAGCTGCGCCTGATGATCTCATCCTTTTGGCGGAAAAGCTTCTTGCCCTAAATCCAGCGCAGCGTTGCACCTGCACAGAAGCATTAAGTATGAAATATTTTTCGAACAAACCAGCGCCATCAGTCGGCCATAAGCTGCCAATGCCCTCAGGCAACAAACAACCTGCTGAAGAACGTCCCAGCTTAAAGCGAAAACTCATCGATTCTCTGGAAGGTGGCACGGTGCCAAAAAAACTTTTTTGATTAAAGCTGCAAGGCGATATCAAAGATGCCGATTAAAGTTAGGGATAAATTAAAATATTACCAATAAAATTTGTTACTTTTTTATCGACTTTTTGTTTCGTTAAAGTTTATGCACTTTTTCACAAGTTAAATTACGATAATAAAGAAAAAGCAATTTGGTTTATGTATATAAAAAATACAATATTCTTTATTTCAAACAATGTTCAGCATCATAAGGTTCTGCGTCTATGTAGTGCTTACACTATTATACTAAACTATAAGCGCCTTATTAACATAAAATTGAGAAAGTTAGAAAATAGTTCCGCATATGTGACTACAATTTGTTCTAGCTCTATAAAAACATTAACATTTAAAAATCATCGCTTTAGCGTTGAATGCATGAAACAATGAGATAGTATATGTATGTATGTATGGATTTACAGATCGCTTATTTACTTCAATAATGTCACAACTCAAAAAAGCAAAACTCGAGAAAAACGGCTTTAAAGTTTTGAATTTACATATCGTCACCTTAATTCACAAAAGCCCTAACCACAATTTCGAAACTACGTATTTCACAGATTTTCGTAGGATATATTAAAATACAACTTCACTAAAAATTTGCAAGTTCTGGTAAAAAAATCTACGGAGTTACGCCACTTTTTGAAACGCCATACACGTATGAACGATTTGATTTGTATAACGTTTTTTGCTTCTCCTGTAAAATAAAACATTTTTTGGTTAGGGCCTTTGCGAATTATTAAGGTAACGATATACTCGCATAGTAAAAATGAACAGATATTTTGTTCTGGTGAGATACTGGTAATCGATACAGCTATGAAATAGAAGAGATGACGCTTGTTTCTGCGTAACCAACTCAAAATTTATATTTTTTGGATTATGACATTATTGAAGTAAATGAACGATATGTATATGTACATCCATATGCATGCATGTATGTATATGTACATACTAAAAGCACTACCCTACAACAGACTTAAGTACACATGCTAGTTGCTGGAAAGGATTTACAGAACTAGACCGATCGATAAACCGCATTGGCAACAGTTAGGTTTGCTCTCAAATTGGTTTTGTTTTATTAGCATATGTATGTAAATGTTGTAATTAATCACAATACTTTCCGTAGGGAAACCCATACCGCGGCTAATTTGAATACTTATGTACTATGCTTATGTACACACCAATTTATACATATATTTACCTTTGAAAAATTGATACAATTGGCGAAGCTATGTATTTATCTAGTTGCCTATATTAAAAAGTAACAGTATGACTTAAGATTGCTAGATGAGGCACGGTGAGTTTTAACAACTATCTTTATGAACAGCAATAAACACTAAAAAAGCAGTACCATGAGGAGATTTCCAGCGCTGACGGACGATATTAATATAATTTTATACGTATGCAAATAATTTAGGAATTTTATATCGTCAGAATGAAAGAAAAATTTGGGCTCTTAAATCATTCAATGGCGTTGAGAGCTTTTCTCTTCCAATCCTCTAATAAAGTATAAGAGAGTAAATTTTCTAAGGCTTGAAAATGAAATTTGCACTTTTTTAGTTCAAATCAAGTGTTTCTTTAAATATATGAGAAAATAATAACAAAAAAAGAGAAACATAAGTGAATAGCAAATCTAAAAATACATTTTTAATGGATTCTATATTTAAGTGGGTAACCGTTATGGGGGAAAAAAATGTTTTAAGGAATTGTGTATATCATAGAAATAGGGCGGATACGTACATAATTAAATATTTATTTTATTTAGTACCTATAGTATTTTTATGTATGCATAAGTAAAGTATGTATATGCTAACAATGAGTAGAACTTCTAAGAAAATCACACATGTATGTGGATTGTAAGCTGCGAAACATACTAGCACACCCAATAAGAAAAATTATGCATGTACATGCATATGTACATATGCACAAAAGGGTGGGTCAAATATTGTATTTTCTTTTACATGCCTGTGGAATATTATTTGTTTAGTCTTAGTATTGCGGGTTCATCGAACTCTAAGTGGCACATAGGGCTCTGTTCGGATAAAGCGGATTATTCGTACAAATTTAGGGTTTACCATAACGGTAAAAAGAAGAAAGAACGGAGCGAAGAAATCGTAGAACCGAAACCACATAGTCTGTATATAGTGCTATGTCATCCTGTACCTACCTAAGGGTAAATCTTAAAATTAATAAAAAAAAAATTATTCTCTGGTTTATTAACTGATCTACATCTTCGCTGATTACGAATAACGTATTCCCTAGACATTAGCAACCAAAATTGGTTTTTCAAAGATATATATATTTTTTATTAAGGTTTTATAGCCAATTGTTATTTGTTTAGGCAGAAAACTGCAAAACACAATAGGTATCAAATATGTATAGAAAATCTACATTTTTCGTTTTACTTTCCGTCAGCATTTAAAACAAAACCATAAATTTTCAAAGATATTATTAAAAAAAAAATCAGTACGATGCTGAATAACAATATGGTATAAAATAAAGGGGGAAAATATACAATGTCAACAATCAATTTTTTTGGTGCACAAGGACGAAAAGATTTTAGAAATGTCCTTTTATTAACTTTTCTTACCTTAAACTGATCAAGTTAGGTGAATTCGAGGTTATGGTATGTACATATTAGCCGTTAACTCGAATTTTTTTCCAAAAATAAGTGTTGGAAATTTTTAAGGATAAAGTGTTAAAGCAACATTTTCAGTACCTGTTCGTTAACGAAAAAAAAACAGAAAAAATTTATTGTTTTGAATTTTAGAGTATTTCCCTTTATTTGATACCCATATTGAAACTCGTATTGTTTTTAAGCATTACACCGAATTTTTTAAATAACTTTTTTTAATTAATCATATCTTTGAAATTTCAATATCCTTAAAAAAAAATTGTGACATTAGAGAAAACTGTCGCACGGTGTAATAAATATCACTCTTACAATACCACAAAATAAATTTTATTTCAACACCCAAATACAAAATCGACCCCACCTAATGTTTATAGATATTTATGCATGTACACATACATACATCTATACAGTATATACATGTGTGTGTATGTATAATAAAACTCCCTCTGACGATATAAAATATTTTTAGTCGATTTTTGGAGTTGGGAGGTTATTTTTATTGAAGGCAGACTTTCTTTTTCAGTTGATACTAGTTATCGTAAAGCTTTGCAATACTTCGTACCTGCACGATTTCCCGGTAGCCCCGCCAGCATTAAATGTGTACTAGTACATACAACTACAGTTGTCCACAAAATAATAGGAGTGCGATATTTTAAACCAGTTTTGGCTACTTGTCTATTATTTATTTAATGTTTATCATTTTTTTTTTTTTCATAAAAGTCTAGCTGGTTATACAAAAAGCACCATATTTATAAATTCACATTTCCAACTTTGTACAAAAATTATAAAAATTTTGTAAATTTTCACCAAAATTTCAAACGTTTTGATCAGAAAAAAAAAAAAAAAACTTTGGTATGCAGTTTTGTAGCCCATTTAATTTTAGTATAATGAAGTGCAAGTTTCAAGTTGGTGTAAAATCCCGTTGATTTTTGAGAATTCTTTTGGTTTTTCCATATAAAGTATGTTCGACAATTTTCTTTTATATGGAGGACACTGCGAAGTGAATTTATATGGTGTTCGTTGCATTACCAGCTAGACTGTTTAAAAAAAAATTATAAACTTAAAAAAAAACAAAAGAAAAAATAAAAAAATCTGGTGAAAATATCGCACTCCTATTATTTTGTGGACCACTATACATGATCTTTACTTCAACTAAATATCTATTATTTTTTAGAAGAGTTTTATGTTTCATAATGCCCCTAACTGAAGTGACTTTGTAAACATGCAGCTCTATTTGTATGCGTATGAACGATTTAAAAATTAATCTAAATTTCACATTTAAATACAATTAGCTTAAAACTTTGTTTAACTCAACTAAAGCGGAAAAAAGGAGCGCCAAAAAAATCGAACATTTGTGAATTAGACCGAATTTATCTTTTTTCTCGGTTAAGCTAAAAAAATAAACATACGTAGACTAGCTTAAACATACATAAATAAATAGACAACTATCGATAATAATTAATAATACATAGTAGTTAGTCCGCGTAAAAGCTAATCACTAAATTTAAAGCTATTATTTTGTGATTTTTGTTCTTCATCAGTATCGGCTCCCAAATTCTTTGTTTTGCTTTCTTCTTCCATTTGCGTATCTAATAAAATTATTAACACTAATTCTATAATCGCCTAATCGTAAAATATTATTGTAATAAACCTATGACTATAAACATATTCGTTAGTTTTGCTTTGATTGTAGATTTTTTTTTTAAGAAATACATACATAATTAATTTCTAACGTTTAAAAAAAAAACTCCTTTTTTGTTTGATTGCAATAATTCCAAACAGGCATCATTTAGGATTTCACATATTTTCAAGTAAATTATACATACATACTAAGTTTTCGTTTTTGCTTGGGTTTTTTTTGGTTTATTTGTTTTTGGTGGCCTTTATCTAACAGAAAAAGTTGTATGCAATTTGCCAAACACACAATTTCTGTCGGCTTCTCACATTCTACATACATACGTATACGCTATACACAAGTACAAACATACATATAAACTTAAAGATTAATTGTATCTAAGTCTTGGCAAGGTGCACGTGGGCTTAGGTTATCTTCGCTACGGGTACTGTTGCTGCCGCCGCCACCTCCAGTCGCGCTGTCCAAGTCGGCATCGTTAAGATAACCCGTCGATGAGTTTTTGTTGCTTCGCGTACTATTATTATTGTTTTGGCCATTCTTGCCTTCATTGCCATCTGTGGTTTGTGGCTGCAGCTTTTTGCTGCCCAATCCCAAAGGGAACGCAAATTCTTGTGGTAATTTACGCATAATTTTACCGGAGGTGATAAGGCGACCAAAGCCCTCCTGCAAAGAAAACAGTTATTGGAATTTAAATATAACAGATACATACATACATATTTACAAATGTACATATAGTTATTTTTTTAAAGGTTGAGTGCAGTATTCTGTCGTTAATTGATACCCGCTTAAATGGCGTTCCTGCTTGTTTTAACCCAATAGCTCGTAAAAAAACTATTATATTAACTTTAGTATTCCTCCGAAGGTTTATCCAAAAGTGGCATTACAGGCCTTTGAAAAATCAAAAAGACCTCAAAATACATAACCCTAATGCATACTTTAAGCTAAAACTTTTTCCATGGAATTTCCTCGAAAACCGTTAGTCTTACGAAAAAAGGTGGCTTAATATTTTTTGTAACCAATGTCCTAAAGCACAAACTTGGTAATCACAACTTTTTCATAAAAGTGACCATAAACCAGATTCTCACTAAGTACCGTATTTCACGACACCTGGATCGATGGCGACTTTCGGCATGTAGAGTCTAATCACAAAAGGAAAGTCAATGTAAAAATCCAGGTTGACCCTAATTATTCCGAAGGAAAATGTCTTCTGCAATAAACGACACAACTCGAAACCCAAAAAAGGAACCCTCACTGCTGAACATTGGCACATTTCTTTAATCCTTGTCTAATCCTTACTAAATATGTATAAAGCTGTCGTAAATATTTATTAACGATTTGACCAGGATTAGACACAATTCAGTATTCAGTTTTTTAATTTTTTAGTTGTGTCATTATAGCAGAGCATCATCGATATGTAGATTGCATAATTCATCAATAAATGTCGAAATAAAAAAAAAAAGAATAATAATAATAAAAAAATTCTGTAACTTTCAGACTTCTTTCATTCTTAATACGAATGTGGGCATACTCGCGCAATGTTTTTTAATAAATCTATTAAATATGAATGTACTTTGTTGAAGACGTATGAAATATCATGGTCGTAGAAACATTATTTGAAGACTACTTACTAATATACAGTGCCACCTCGATACAACTTTTTTTTTGCTGAATACCATGAAAAAATATCGTTTCTGCGAAATTTTCCATACAAAAATGTTTTGTATAGTTTTACAGGTTTTAACCCAGAAAAGTTGGGGAACGCAACTAAAGTGTCCGCTCAAAAGCGTCTACATAACGAATTCTAAATCTGTTGAAGGTTGGAGTCCCGTTACAAAAAAGAAAAAAAAAACTATACCTATGACAATTTTTTTTTTCTTGAAAATTTAGCACTTTTCGTTGCATTACGGATTTGATATTATATACATAAATACAACGAAACTACGAATATAAGGAGGCATTTGTCTAATCCTTCAACTTCATTGTATCGAGGTTTTACTGATTGCCTATTCCTTACCTGATGGGCAAATGCATAACCCGAACGTAAAGATCGTCGCGCCTTCCTTGCCGAAGGGGTCCGCATAACCATATTGCTCTGACGTGCGCGTGTTTTCACGCGACATTTAAGACGTATCTGTCGAAATCAAAAGTTTAAGAGAATATACGAGTGAACTATGTAGTATGAATTATTTCATTAGTCTTACCTTATCAGCTAAACTAGGATGCACATCGATTAGATAGAATTTGTAGGCTAATACCGGTGCCATTATCATAATTACCGTTATTATCATTGTCGTCCAGAATGTCAGATCTTTCATAGCCATCGCAAGTGAACCGACATAGGGACCGCCGAAGACATAATTATAAAAATAATCCAACACAAAGAAGCATATCAAACTACCCCAGATGGTAATGTGATTGAATATCGTCCAATATGATGTATATAGCGCTATCTGTACGATTGGAAAAATCAAATATGTGCAATGAAATGATATTTGAAAATAATCTTATAAGTGTACCTGTGCTGTATTGTCGATTATAAGAATAGTGGCAACAACCGCACCTAACGTCATGTGATCGCTGAGAATGAGTCCATCTGGCGAAACGCCATCCTTGTATGTGCCTACAAAACAATATATGTATGCATATAAAATTAAGCAAATAAAAATGACTACATAGTAACTAAAGTGCGAAACTTTTAAAAATATTGGTTTACAGAACACTATTCGTACCATATGGTATTAAGAAGAGTATGAGCGAACTGAAGGCACCATGTAGTACACTGTAAACAAATTCACGTGTATTGAACAATTGACTCTTCAGTCCGGGCGTATATAATTTTGGGTACTCCACGCTGTGCTTGTCAGAGACATCTTGTTCGAATACGCCCAACGCTAGCACCGGCAGTGAGGTATAGAATAGATTGTAGACTGATATAAACATTGGATCGAACACCGTCTGCATAAGCGCCCATGTGAAAATAATAACAAATTAGGTTAGTACCAAGCAAAAATATGTTGTTTCAAAAAGATGGCTGCTGAATATTGCACGGTTTGATTTCCTACCTGCGCGCTGAAGCCACAGAAAAACGAATACCAGCAGTGGCATAGTGTAAATGCAAAATTCTTATAGAAAAAGTAGCGCAAGAATTTACACATGCGATAATACGACCAGCGTCCATGTACGAGTAGAAGGCGCTCCAAGTAGCGAAATTGGGCGATCGAATAATCGCTTGCCAGCACCGCTTGCAAACCCTCCTGGCCAGAGATACCAACGCCTATGTGGGCAGCTGTGTGAAAAAATGTTTGATTCAAATAAATACAAATTGAAACTAAAGTTAGCAATTCTTAAACTTAATGTATACATTTAAAGGAGTAAAGTTAAAGTTTTAAAATTGTGTCTGTTACCTTTGATCATGGACACATCATTGGCACCATCGCCGATTGCCAGAGTTACCGCACTCTTGGCACGCTTAATTAGTTCCACAACTAGTGCTTTTTGTAGCGGCGTTACTCGACAACAAATAACTGCTTTGCACTGTGAAGCGATGTCCAAGAATCTTAAAATGGCAATAGAACAAAAAAAATGAAAATAAATATAAACAAGTAATTTTTAGCAAAAAAAAACCGACTTAAAAAAATGTATATATTTCATGATCCAATGATCGGATCTAAACCAGATTAGTATGGGACCACCTCTGAGACACTGCCTTTCCGACGCAAAAATAATTATCGAAATCGGTTGACCTGGTCCAAAGTTATGCGGCAACATACATAAAAAAAAAAAATATTCCGACGAACTGATAACCTCCTCCTTTTTTGGAAGTCGGTTAGGATTTATACTTATCGATCTACAAGAGCAGGCCAATAACTCTGCGCGATGAAGCTCAAGGGGTTAAAAATTTAATGCAGATTACTTTACTTTTTCAATATGCTAAGGCAGCTTGAAGTCCATGGTACTTTTTGAAACGCTTGGTCTCCTGCTTCAACTCCAGCTCTTAGTAAAGAGCCGAAGTTTCGTCTACAGTAATAATTTGGCTCATTGGTTTATTCTTGCTATCGCTGCACAGGTTTAAAAACACTAGAAGCGCTAATCCTTCTGTAGTTGTGTGAGCACTCTCGGCACCTACATATGCACATATGTGTGTATGTATCTTGCGCTAACCTCGGAAATAGCAAATATAATTCGTTGCAAAATACATGATGCTAAAAGCTATCGTAAATGACACTCCCATTATTTCCGCGATTTGCTTCTTGATGGTAGTCTTATAAGCGCGTTCTTCCATAAATAGTTTTTCAAGGCTTTTGATCTGAGCACGTTGTTGTTATTATTGTAGCGGCACTACTAAGCCTAAATCAGCTAGTTTAGCAATCGTTGTCGTCATGCTCAACTAACGGTAGACTCGAGAAACGTGCTGTTTCGATGAGGCCGGTCTAAAGTGTGTTAGCTGAGTGGGGGCTTCACTGGGCAGGAGACTTTGTGTTTGGTGCCGTGGGGGTAGCCTTCACAAACCGTACATATGTTTGGTATACCGTGTTATCAAGTTATTGAGTTGTCTCACCGGCAGACCTAGACATCGACCCATAATGCGGTCAAATGCCTTCTACGTATTTTCAACGTGGCAATTTCTGCCGAAACAATTCGTTGATATTCGTCATCGTTGTAGTATTAATGCGATAACGCAGCGTCCTGTAACGAAACCGGCAAGAACTCTTACTTTACAACTGTTGAGCTTCAGACGGTCCTTCACGTCGCGAAGTCATTTAGAATGTAATGCGACTGAAGTTGAGATGACTCAGTGATTCCAATCTACGTTTTTCTTACTTTGGATCCTTGGACGAAGCTGCAGTCGTCCACCGAGTACAGAATGGCGCCTTCGAGTAGACACTGACGGCGATTCCCTACTGCATCTTTGAGCCATCATTTCAGAAAAATATACCGTTATATGCAACAGGTAGACAAACGTTTCATTCCTCTAGGTTCGTAAACCATATAGGTTCAAGTCCTAAACCAATATAATATAGTCAGTGCTGTTCTTCTAAGTCAACTTTGATCTCATTAATCTCCTTTTATTTCGACGAGTACTACCGCGTGGCCCTATCTCACATCGTTGCTGAAATACAAAAAGCCGTAACTAACTAAAAATCTAAAATTCCTTTTATACAATACAAAATTTTAGTACATTACGACTTTTTTGCGTGACAATGAAAAAATGAGTACTTACGGTACCTGATCGCCTAAATAAACGTATTAAGGCTAGCATTGTTCAAAAAAATTATTTATTTTTTATTGTACTTGTTCCTGGAACTCCATTGATTTAAATAAATGCAGACACTAAAAAAAAACAACTCGTGAGATTTGCTCATATAGAGTATTTTTTTAATTATTATTACTTTTTGCTTTACAATCATAGTAGTGCCAAAATACAATTCCAACAAAATACATTTTCAACACAAGGCACTCTAAGGCACTAAGTAATCGTTTCGGCATGCTCAAACGAATACATGACATAAAGTCACCAGCTAATAAGCATACCACACAATACACTTTTTTGCACGTTCTTTCCCAATTAAATGCTTCTGCGAATATTATGCAGTGAAATATTGTTGAAACACCTATGTATGGTTCAAGAATTCGGAAGGATTTTCTTGTGCGTGTACATACATGGCGTATGAGTGACATTCTTTCCTGCTCATATTTCAATGAAAAAATATCCTTGCGCATTTCTATTGGATTTAAAAAAAAAAAAAAAATCGACACAGAATTTGTTGTTTTAAATTTTTTCCCTGTTAAAGTTTAAATTTTGTTGTAATTTTTGCATCAAAAAAACAAAAAATCTGGAATGATTATGTATTTTCCCAGAAACTATCAGGCATATCGAAAAATGATTTAGATACGGTTGATGGAGAATATTGTTAGCTTTCATTTGCCATATTTGATATTAAGATTATTTCTTTGTTTTGTAATATATATGTGATTAAGTGAACCCACTTTTTTAGCTGAATATCGGTAAATTGCCAATATCTCGAACACTTATCTATAGAAAAAAAATTAACTCCATTTTCCGAATCTACATTGGGATTGGATAGGGTCATCCAGTGTGCATTTTTGCTGTATACCAGTGTAATGTTTTGAAATTGTTTTATTTCACCACACAAAAATGTAAACAAGTGACGGTTTCAAAATGGAGGTGGAAAGCAATTCATGACGAACAACATTTATGCAATAGTAGGTATGTATGTATACATATTTGACATAAAAGCACTCACTTTGATTCTAACTCCGGCGAGAGGCAGTAAACTAGCGAGTGTCCGTTAACAACAATCGCGAAGCCGGTGTTCTCTTCGATTACTTCATCCGGGTGTAATGTGGTCGCGCCATCAGCACCCTTCTCGATATTGTCATAGAGTTCATTACATTCGGCGCTGCAGTTAAAATTTGAAAAGCAATTCGTTAATATTGAGTCAATGAAGGATGCATGAAGTTGCAAAAATATGTACATATACATATATATATAGAAATAAATAAAATAAAAATTAAGGAAATACAAAAAACGCATAGAGAGCAATTTGTGCAGAAACGGTACAAATGAAGCGATGCTGCAAGTACATATGTATGTATGTATGCAGATATTTACATCTGATGTTGGTAAAAAATTGTCGGTAAAATGGCTTGCATACATACATACATACATGCATGCATAGATATCGGCGGTAGACAAGTAAACCCCATTAAAACTAATTATGACATTATGTACTTAATTAGTTTTTCTTATTAGTGCACGAAAATGATGAATGCAGCGAGGGACACACTCATACACAAATACATACATACATATGCATAATACATACTGACAACATTCACAAACTAAGTCAAACATGTTCAACAAAACAATGCAACACACTTTTTTTTAACGGATTGTAGTTTTAAAAGTCTCTCAATAAATATTTATTAAATGCAGTACAATACATAGCTAGCTCTTCACTAAAAAGAAATCGCTAATACAAATACGATCGAACAAAACGAAAGCAAATATTAGTGACGTTTTCAAACAGGAGCAAAACCAACAGTAACAACATGAATAAAAAAGCTCAATGATCGATGTGGGTGAGATGCGAAAACCAAGCAATCAAAAGCTAAATATGCATCCTAATTTGACCTACTTTAATTTATGTACATTGAAGTCTTTAGGTATATGTAATATTTATGTATGTATGCGAGAAACGTGTTTAACGACAACGACATTTTTAAGTGTACTTTAACGAACGAACGAACAAACAAACAAACAAACAAACAATGCGTGAAAAATTACGATTATTAAATGTGTTAAAATATATTTTAATGTACAAAATAAGTATTTACTTTCCGGGCGGAACAAGTACCAATAGAGGGGATCATCCTTGTACAATATAATCAAATGATGTAGAAATTGCACTGTCTTGTTGGCTATTATTATTAAATTCTAATGGCGTGATTTTGTTTTGATTTTTTTCCAATGTATCGGTTTGTATGTAAGAGTTTGTGTTTGAAGAAGAAAATAGCTTTGTGGACATACTAAGAATTCTTAACTGTGCGCTATAATAAGCTAGTGGTCTTACTGACAAAAAGTAAAATAGATTTAAAAATCTTTATAAAATACATTTTAAATCTATTTTATTTTTTATGAATTTTGAGTAGATTTTTTAACGAAAAATGCTACAAAATATCGAGCCCTAACCGCCAAAATAACATAAGCGACATTTTTTTGAAAATTTTCTTTTCGAATATTTAGGCATTTGAAATAATTGAAATTCTCATGCAGGATTTCTATTGAATTAGTCATAGAAGTGAAGTTTAAAATATAGAATTTTTAAAGGAAAATACCAAAAATAAGCAGAATATGTTTCTACATTTCTTTATTGGCTATAATAAGTGTTTTTTTAATGATCTTTACTTTATTGTGGGCTGCATATTAGAACAATGCATCACTAGTCAATTACTTAGAGCAATGTAGATACATATATTTAGCCTTCAATGTACTATGTAGACGTATATATGTAGAAACATGTATTTTTGAAGTAAAAAAAAAACACAACAGACTTCAATGCTCATATACAAATTAAGGACCGATCCAATGATCGGAACTAAACCAAATTCGTGTGAGACCACCCTTTCCGATAAAAAAGAAACATCGAAAACATTTCACGTGGTACAAATCCAAATAAAAAAAATTCCGGCGAACTAATAACCTCTCCTTTTTTGAAGTCGGTAAGAAAATCTAAAGAAATTATCTTCAAAAGTAAATTGTTACTCATACGCCCCGTAGTCATATAGAGTACCATGGCGTTTGTTAGGTGATATAGATTTTCAATATGTAAATTGCGTAAAGATTTTGGTGAAGAGCGACAGTCGCAAAACTAGCTTAAGAAATTCCAAGCTGGTATTTTTAATATCAAAGATGATTCTCCGTCAGGAACGCCACTTTACACGATACGAGAGGCTGCAGGAACATTGAAAATCAGTAAAAGAAAAGTGTTTTCATTTCCAGCTAATGAAGTAGCCAGCTCGACATTTGGATTCGACATGGGCTGAATGAAGTTAATAATAGAAAACAATAGATAATAATAATAATGATATTTTGGCGCTCACACATATCTTAGTGTTTTGTTGAGCTTCTCCTCCGATTTTTGTTGTCACACAAAGTGGAGGCACCTGCAGTTTTACGCCGTTTCCGAACGGATATTGTATTTTTTTATGAGAAGCTGTTTTTCATGGCAGAAATACACTCGGAGGTTTGCCAGAGCCTGTCGAGGGGCGACCGCTATTAGAGAAATTTATTTTTTAGTTTTTGATGTTGGGTTGAACCGGGCTTGAATCCAGGCCCTACGGAATGGCAGCGCCAACTACTCCACCGGTTATGTGAAGTGGATTATTGCTTCCGACCTGATGATTCACCTCAAACGATGGCAAATGCAGAACTTGATCAAAAGAAGGTTATGCTCTATGAGTGGTAGGATTGGAGGAGCTTCAATACGAAATCGAAAGATCAATTGGGATGAATTGTCGTTAATTGGACCTTTTGAAAGAATTTGTCATAAAGAAATATCTTGAGATTTTAAATCGTAAAGGAGTTGTGTTCCATCACGACACATCAAAAATTATTGCAGTTAAGCTAGAATTTAAAACCACACCCTGCCTGCTCGCCTGACCTTGTGACCTAATATGTCTATCAGTTTCGCACTCTTCAAAACCCGCTGTGTCAAATTCCTAAAAGGTTTGTAATACATATTACTTTTAAATCAGTGAAGCACGAATTAATCATTATTAACAAATAAAACATATTCCAGCTTTAAAAATTGCTACTCAAACGAAATATACCCATTAATACGGATTATTTACGTATGCATATTTCAGTGAGATTCCGTGAAATTCGAATTAAAAATGAAAAATTAAGATAAGTTGAAATTAAAATTAAAATTAAGTACTTCGGTACGAAAAGTCAGATGTTAAATAATAATAAAATAATACTTATAAAAAATATCTATTAAAGTAGTTCCTCCAAACCAAAAAAAAAACTAAAGGGAATAATAACAAGAGAGTAGCAGAAAGAGAGAGAGAGAGAGAGAGGAGATTTGTGTTTCTTTTGTGTAAAAGTGCGGCGTTTGTTTTGGAGTTCCCTCTACCTGTCCGGTTCGCCCTTATTATGCTTAATTTTGTCATCATCCCACCTAAAGGTAACAACAGATATCGCTGGCGCCGGCGGTGGTGTGGCCTGCGTACGAAAGCCAGTTCCATACGTCACAGATGTGCTATTACGATCGGCATTATTCGAACCATTTAAATTGAGATTCAGATTAACATTCGGCTCGAGCGCTGTAAGTGTAAGAATTTATGTTTGTTTAATGAAATTCTATGCGTACATATGTATGTATATGTATCTATGTACATATGTATGTAGTTCAGTCACTTACGTGTGGGTCTAAAACGATTGACAATTCGCACCGATTCACGGAATTGGCGCAACTGCTTGTCGACCTCCTCTAGTGAACTGCCATCCACAATGAACACATCAGCCAATTCATCGGTTAATAATTGACACGAATATCCAATATTTATAGCAGTTTCTAAAAATCGCATTCATAAAGAGAATCGCAAACTGATAAACATGACTTCTGCTTACCTTGTTTATCGCCTGTTAGTACCCAAATTTTCAAGCCAGCCATTTGTAGATTGGCTATCGTTTGTGGTACACCATCCTGTAGCTTGTCTTCGATCGCCGTCACACCCACCAGAATCAATTCACTTTCGATCTCCTCATACATGGCGTTCAGTTTCTCTTCGCGAGCGTCTAATGAAACAGCTGCTATTTGTTGGCGTTGTAACCAATCCATATAATAATCTGCGTCAAGTCGTCGTTCGGCAAGTACCAGTGTCCTTAAACCTTCGCCAGCGAATTTCTGCAGAGCAATTTTTTGGTCGTAAATATTATTTGAGCATAATTAAATTTTCAACTTACATTCAAATGATCCTGAGTACGCGCCTTAATATCACTTTGACTAGTGCTTAACCTATCGTAAATCACATTATCAGCACCTTTGCAGTACAGTATAATATCATCGCCCCGCCTCAATATCACCGACATACGTTTGCGTACATTATTAAAGTCTAGAATGTTGAGAAGTTCATACTCCTGTAAATAAAAGAGAAAAAAAATAAGTAATTAAATTTTACACTGTTAAAAAAAAAAAATACGTTTATGGGTCAATCATTTCAAATCGACCAATGGTTGGAATCAACTATTTTTGATTTGGATGAAGTTTTAAATAATATTTTATTTTTTTGAAAGTTCAATATTTCACAATTTTCCGGATTTTTTAAGTAATTTTTTTGAATATTTTTAAAACTATTGTACATAGTTACAAAAATGCTTCTGGTATCATTTTAACGGTGACATTCGGAGCTGTATAAAAATATTCAAAAAATCCAAAAATAAAAAAACAAATTCAGACTTTTGAAAGACAAATTTTATATTAGCTTTCTTTATACAATACCTGCAACTGATCTTAATTAAAATCGAAACTTTCAAGCTGTTTTTTAACAAAGAAATTTTTTAACTTAAAAAAAAAATTTCAAATTGCAAATTAAAAATAAATTTAAATTGTTTAGCACAACTTTAATTAGAGTAAAAACAAAAAAAATTTTCAAAGTCCAAAATTCAAATCATTAAAAGAAAACCGCATGAAAATTTCAGAATCTTTTAAGATCAATTAGAGGTAGTGAATAAAAAAAAAGTGTTAAAGTTCTTTATATACATATAGTCTCTTTATAACAACTTTAAAACAAGACCAGAACCATATTTGTAGCTCTAATAGTTTTTGAGATACTCAAAAAAAAAAAAACTTGCAAAATCCCGGTAATTAAAAAAAAACGTAAACATTTTTTGTTTCGCACAACTTTGTTATATAATAAAAATTCATCCAAATCAAAAATGGTCGTTTCCAAACATTGGACGATTTGACATGGATTGACCCTTATCTATTTACATGTGTACAAGTACATACCTCTCGATTACCCATCACTTCTATCGTTATACTATTTGGCGTTCGTGAGCGGAAAACGAAGCCGAAGTTTCGTGCTGCTGACACCAGCGCAGCCTCGTCTGGACTTTGCGCCTGATACTCGAGTCGTCCCTCCACATACTCCGGCATTACGGTGTGACACAGCGCAAGTAGGCGAAAGAAATTTTGGGTGTGCTCTTCGTCAGAGCGCACTGCATCCAGCAGGGTCTTGTCGTACCAGCGGAAGTCGGGTTCGAATTCGGGATTCGCCGAAAAGTCCACCGGTTCGAGAGCCTTAAAAAATATTTAATATTTTGAGTTAAGTTTTTTTTATGTCTCTGCTAAGAAATGCGCAAATCTACATAGTTATGTACAACAGTTTGTATGTATTTATATGGATAAAGCGTGGCAAGTTGCTCGGGTTTTGAATTCATTTTATTTAATAAATTGATTTATGAACTAAAGTGTAAGTACATGTACATATGTATGCACTATGTATGTACATAAGTGGTTGTAGTTATAATAAGCCTTGGAGCGTTTCTTGGAGTATTAAAGCAATTATTATTTATTTGTATATGTATTTGTATTTGTTAGTGACAATGAAAGCTGCGGCATGCAATTTTAGCTCAGGCATCATAAGTAAATCGAACCGACCGTAGATGGAAAGGAGAAACTTTAAGTAGCAATTAGTTCGCCGCTAGAAGCTCACTGAGGCATGAAAGGTTAATAATGTTAATTATAATAGATACATTTATATTTTTTTATTTTATATAGCGCATGCAAAAAAGTAGCACAACAAAAAAAATCATATGAGTGTTAGTAGTCAGGATTTGATGTGACATAGCTTTCCAATACAACTTTGAAAATAATTTGAATTTGTATGTGGAGTCTCCTCGCCACTCCAGGCGGCGTTAGAGACTCTTCTATCCATTCCAACTAGAGACATAAATGTTAAATGCCCTGCAACTGGGAGTAGCTAAAAGCTTAGGGCGTCTAAAATTCTACCTTTAACAGAGAGGCTTAGATCACGTTGTCCGTCTTTGAAATTTTACACAGAAGAAGCGGGTAGTCCTAACCCGTTTCAGAGAACGACGGGAGTACAAAATACACTGACTTCCATACTTCTATGTAGATTGCTGTAATATTCTTAGGATGAGATCTATGCAAACTTTTTAAGGATACTGGGCGTTTTTCCTTGAAGTACATCTTTGTTATACACAGTTAGGCTGCGATCAAGGTCCTACTACTCAACCTGAGTTACGGAATATTGAAAATTCCCACAATCCAATAGACAAGACATATTCACTCTCTGCTGAGCCCCACTGCAGCGTGGTGGTGTTTGGAGAAATGAGGAAGCGAACGAGTGCTTGAGAACTAGACCAGACATACAATAAAATCCTCTCGGCGATTCAGAGTAGAGATGAGTAAAACACTTGACTTTCCAGTACACAGTCATGGAATGAGGCAACATTCATCGTATGGCTTGAATCACAAAGTGTTTCTGAAATCTTTTGAGGACGTGGACAGCTGAAGCATTCCCGATAAGTTAGAGTCTTGAAACTTCAAACTTAGCTCAGAACCCGATGACAATGGAATTTGAAAGAGGTATTAATCTGCTAGGTTGCACTGTATTTATAAGCCGATTTGGTTCATATTTGGAACGTATAACTACACAAAAAATTTAGCCGGTAGGTGGCGCGTATGTCGAAATATTTCGAAACTCTGCATCTATAGCCTGATTTAGTTTATATTTATAATATATATTATCTATATTGAAGGGAATTTTTTGCAGATAGCGCTATAGTGGAGATATTTGGTAAGCCCGTTTTTATGGTCCGATTCGTTTCATATTTAGAAAGCTTGTTTTAAAAATATTTTTTACTAATAACTTATTTAATATTCATATCATGAGTTAAAAACCGTTTCACATCAAAGAAAAATTTTACCTTACCGAAGCCAGAAGTGTTTCACATCAAATCAAAAAATTTCAAAAAAGTTAGGAAAAATAAAGCTTCAAACTAGAGATGTACGATTGATCAATTAATTGAACAAGCTGATTAATCGAAACCTCATTCATTCATTAACAAAATAATAATAATATTTGATTAATCAAAATAATTTATTTAGCAGTTAATTCCATTTTAATTAATAAGAGACCCGAATAATTGCTGTTATATTTTAATTACATACGAGTAGTAACGATGTGCATTTTATTTCACAGCCAAAGCCACAATTTTATATGCAGATTTATAATGTTAGGTTATTATCACTAAGAATAATGAGTGGAGAACCTCTACCATTTGTTTGGCATTATGTGGAAGAAGAAAGTTACATTTGGGCAATTCGTCGCAGCCAGTTCGAAAACGCCCTATCTCAGAAAACTTTTCAAGAATGCCATGTTTCAGAATTTGGTTCAAAAACGCCATATCTAAGCACATTTTCAATACACTTTCATTTGAGATGGGTTGTCTTTGAACCGAATTTGGAGATAGGGCGTTCTTCACCAAAATTTTGAGATAGGGTATTTTTTTAATAAAATTCTGAAATAGGGCGTTCTTCAAAAAAATTTTTAAGTAGGGCGTTTTTGAAAAGTTTTCTGAAATAGGACGTTTTCGAACCGGCTGCCGAGATAGGTCGATCTTCCACTCAGTCGTCCAGTTCATCTAAACGCAAATGCCCGTAACCACGTAAACCCCGAGGACTTGTTTAATTACGAGGCATTTAAGCGTTTACATACCCTGATTGTATTCTAATATTTAACCAATTTCATTTGCTTTGAAAGCAAACTCAAAAGATAAATGACAAAAGTTACTCAGATTTGAATTAATTTTTTTAGAGTAAACCTGATAAATCAATTTTTTCAGTTAATCAGGATTATGATTAATTAAAAAGAAAATATTTTGAATAATATTTGATTAATAATTGATTAATCGCACATCTCTGCTTTAAAAGGTTTGTAGAAAGAACTTGAATCATATTCAACTATAAAAATTGGCACAGTTTTAAGCTTTTAAACAGGGTGGAGGGGTGCGTGAAGCAATCAAGCGGCAAAACAAAGCAAACAAAAAACGTATTTAGCGTCATAGTACTAAATACATATATGCAGCTTAGGATTTCGACTGCGCGAGCGTACACATTTCTATTTTGAGCGCACAAATTACAGTTAGCCGAGTACAAAATCACATGCATACGTGCACTTTTTGGTGAGACGAACTCCAGCCGGTGTCATAGAAATTAAATACATTATCGGTATTGGTGGCGGTTACTGTGGTGGTGCTGTTGTTGATGCGTACGTTTTTGGTGTGATTTTTATTAGTGCATTTTTTTGTACAATTTTCGCATGTTTGCTTAAGCATTTTTTTCGATTGCGATTTCAAGTTGGATTTCAATTTTGATTTTGCGCTGCCTTTCGGATGCTCTGCTGACTGGAACTCCTGGCTATGGCAAGCGCAACATGACATACAGTGCTTTTTGGAGCATGTTTTGCCAATTGTATCTGGTGTAAGCGATTTTGTTAGGCTTTTGTTCTTGGTTTTTTGGTTTGGTGTCTTTTGTGTGCGACTTGCCGCGTTGGTGGTGTGAGATTGTTGTTGTTGCTGCGTACCCAAAAGTACCATCGTCTGTGATAATGTATCTGAGTGCATTGTTGTTGTGATTTGTGATAGTGACGATAGGGAAGATGACGATAGTGCTGATGGCGATGGTGTTACTGATGTCAATGAGGGTGTAGTTGCAGGTGTTGATGTGGATGTTACTGATGATTTCCTCATCGCCATCGCCATCGTCAATGATGGCAGCATTGTTGTAATGTCAGGCGATTGTGGCGGCGTGGTGCTCGTGCAGGCTTTTGCTAAGGGTGTAGTAGTTGTGGTGCTAGATGTGTTGTTGTTGTCAAATGACATTATCAGTGCCCTATGCGGTGTTGATGGTGTGGAATCACCGAATGTCATTACTTTATCGCTCGCATTGGACCGC